CAAGCTTGGAAGAGAAGTGGAGCTGAGTGATCATTACTGACATGCTTCAGGTGCCGGCGAAAGCTCGGAGCTCTGCAAGGAGACATCCCTTGTGTTAACGCTGAGAAACAGACACTAGCTCCCGCTTCAGCTTAGCTAGAAATATGGAATCTGAAATCGCTCTCAGAAATTAAAGGGATCAGGCCATTAGGTTAAGAATTTAATGAGAAGTCTCAAAATGTCACGAGACTCAATTAAGGAAGAACATAATCTGTGATTAACAGCAGGATTTGATGGAAACTTGCTGGTGCAGAAAGAATATACTGATAGCGAGAGATCGATGTTGTGCAGTACATCGGGTACCTCACAATACTTGAAGAGAGTTCAGAGGAGACCCTAATTAGCAACACAGGGCCTGCAAGCCCAAGTGTCCTTAGGTTGCAACTCTGGGGTGGGAACCAAAGGCTGGAGGACAGAAACCAGTGGCCTGGTTTTAAGAGCTTTCCTGAAGTGGAACCAAAACGAGAAGGACAAAAAAAACAGCAGCACACCGAGGCATCCCGGGATCACCACATGGTGTGAAAATGTGTTTAATGAAGATTATGCCCATTAAAAAAGCTCTTTCTGCAGATACTGTACAGCATATCACTAGTGTTGGCAAAGATTCTGCAACAGCACAATTCGGAGACCAGTTTCTTTTAAGCAGCGCCCATCTTCTTTTCTAAAAGCATATGTAGCACATTATTATGTCGCCCGATTAGGCCCTCTGCTAAAATCGAGAGCATACAATGGGAGCAAATCTGGAAAGCAGATGAAAGAAACAATTCTGCTTGTAAAGAACAGCTATTGTGTAACACAGGGCCTGCATATACTGCATTAAATCCCATTAGATGCTGTTGTAGCTATGCAGCTACACGCCATGCAGTCCCACTCTGATCATGGACCTGTTAAATACAGCACTCCACAGAAGTTGGCTGAGGATTTTCCAAAAGACCTAGACAGCCAGTCATCAGTTTTACTTTATAATTCAAGCACAGACAAGATTATTTTCATCTCCCCAACCTAAATTGCAGTAAATTATTCTTACACTAATAATTTCACCTACCACTTCTGAAAGAAATTAGGGATGAAGACGTGCAATACATGATTGCGCCAACTTCTCTCTTATTAAATAACCAACTCAGCTTGTGATACAAATATAAGACAAGGCTGTGATTTCTAAACAGGCGTGTTTCTAGAACCACAGGTTGCAAGTACAAGATCATAATAGGGGTGCACCGACAAAGATTTTCTTGGCCGATACTGAGGGCCGATTATTAACAAGCCACATTGGCCGATACCGATCTGATAGCCGATTTACAGGAACACAGCTGGGCCGCTTGGAAAGCAGCAGCCTGCTGGTAACTCTCCTCCCGGCACCACTGAGCCTGCCCTGCCCCTGCCCAGCCTCCCCCCACTGGTAAAATGGTGGTGCAGGCCTAGCTCTGAGCCTGCCCTGAGCACAAATTGGGGGGGGGGCGGGGGGGACATGCCCCCCCATGCCTCCCCCAGGAGTGCGCACAGCAGCGGGGAGATGCCCCCCACTCCCAACCTCCCTGGACGAGCCACCTCAGTCCCAGGGTCACGTTCACCACCCAGGCTGGGCAGTGCCTGCCCCACTTCTTCCCTCACCATGGGGAGTGAGGCAGGGGCCTCAAATCGCCCTTATCCGCTCTCCAAGCTGCCAGGCTGCATTCCTAGCCACATGCACGCTGTGGCTGCACACACACACACACTACATTTATCGGTGATATTATTGGCCAAAAAAAGCCGCTTGCCAATAATATTAATTTTCCTGTTATCAGTGCCAATCCAACACGTGACCGATACAGCACCTCTAGATCATAAGAAAGGAAAGTACTGAAAGCGGTTGGACTGCATGGCCTGGGGAACTGTGAGGTGGAAGCAGATGAAAGCAGCCGAGTGAAAATGGAAGTTTAAGCACAGAGCGGGGAAGTCACAAGGAGCCCTGGGAGCAGCGGAAAGAGAGAACGTCCCCGATACGCAGGACTGCGCGGAGCAGCAAAGCCATGCTCGACTTCAAGCCCCCAACAAACATCTTGCCTGCAGCCTAGGCAAGTCCCCCCCAACCAGCGCTTCTATCAAACAGATCGTTGTAAAACTTCAACTGAAATAAACATGCTGCTTAGTTATTCACTTCTAAAAGATAAACCATCATCAACTGAACAGGAAATCAGAATGAATGGGGATCGCATTAAGGAGACTGGAGAACGAATGGAGATTACATTATTACACTCTCTTAAAATGTGTCAATAAAACCAAGTGTGCTGCCTCCGTGAGCACAAAAAATCTGAGTTAGGCTACGTACTTTTCTGTATAAAACAGGAATCGGGGAAAGCATCTAGATTTAGAGGTAATGCTCTATAAACATGGCCCAGCAGGCTTATGTAAGAAACATTTATGGCTGCTTTGTTTAACAAAAAATATTTTATGTGCTGTCTCCTGCATATAATGTAAAATTTAGGTTACCACCCCAGTGCCACCACTTAACTCTTTGCATGTGATATACATCACCTATTTAGTACAGTGGTGCTGTTTTGGCCCCATGGGCCAGATGAACGGCACAGGCCCTGCACCACTGGGATCAGGCCGCATGCCACCCTGCACACCCAATCTAGAGCACAGGGTCATGGACTGCAGAGCCCCCCACAGATCCATGGGGAGCCCCAACTAGGCTGGAGGACAAAGTGCTGGGGGCTGGGGCTGGCCCACAGGTCAGGGCTTGAGCACTCCTGAGCTAGTAAACAAGCAACTTATCATCATTGCATTTTTAGCATGCTAGAGATGGTTAAATAAATACACACCTGAAAATAAAGCCATATAATACCTTAAAGAAATGTATACAATGAAAGTGCACCCCTTAAGTAGAAAAAGAATATTCTCAATCTATCGAAAAGGTTCCGTTTAATTGTAAAGCAATGTGTTTTAGTGGTTGTATCAATGGAGGATAACACAACTTTTCTTAGAAAAATACAATTGGAAGAAGGTGATTGGAAAAAAAAAAAATCTGTGATTTAAATTGAGGCTCTCAATTTGTGATGCAAATCACCTTGATTCAAATGTGTCCACCTGCACCTAAATCACGATGCAAGACAGATCAGTGGTGGGAGATGCCTGAAGTCAGCCCTAATCCCAGGCATCACATACGGTCTGTGAAGGCAGCGCTAAATGCAGGACAAAGCACAGTGCCCTATGGTCCAACTCCCCAGGAAGACCAGTGGAGCCCATCTTCTCCACAGCAACTCGGCAGAGCTGAAGCAGGTCCAGACAGTGGGAGACCTGGGGTCTAGACCTTCCTCAGCCCGAAGGAAAGCGAGAGATGTGAACGAGTCCCCAGGGCAATGCCCTACCACCAGGCCACCCACCTGGGAAAGCCAAGTCACATTCCAACCCTCCTACAAAACCGGGCCACTAGGCAGCAAGGAGACCAAGGGGGGATATGACCCTGAAGCCCAGACAGGGCACTCTCCTGAAGAGGAGATCCAGGTTATGGTCCCATTTGCCCGGGGGGGGGGGGGGGTTGTTTTTTTTCCTTAA